AAAAAAGAAGAAGCAAAAGAAAGAGAAGAAAAGAAGAAGCAACAGCAACAAACGTTCATTGACTGACTGACTGACTGATCGATTGAACGCGACACACATACAACACCACATATATACCCATTACAACAGTGCAGTGGTGGTGGTTTGGCCACCGTCACTGTTAGTGATCATTATTATTGGTCTCTGTCTCTATCTCTCTCATTTTTTCTTATTATTGTTATACATATAAAATAGAAATTTGACAATCTATGTGTACTCAGGTAGGTACATGATTTTCTTCTCATCTGTCAAAATCCCACAATAAGAATAAGAACGTTAAGAAACAGAAAGAGAAAAAAAAAAGAAAAAAAATATATATATATATGAGAAAAAAAAATAGAGAGTGATTTGACATCTGTGTCAAGTTCTGTTATTTTTTTTTCAGAAACATGGCGGCACCTCCGCAACAACAAACAACACCTAGTGATCATCATTATTTTGAATGGTCAACAACGAAACAACAAAAACTTGTTGAACAATCATTGAAAGTTGTACCTATTGGTGTAAATCAACAACAAATATCCACAAATAATACAAATACGACTAATACTACAAATATGGTGCATAATCATCCTCATCTTCATAATCATCCATTAATGACTCATACTCATCGACGTCATTATTATCAACATTACGAAGAAAAACGTTCATTAGAAGATAGTAAACAAAAACAGAACAAAACAACAAGCGGAATTGTTCCTTCAACAATGACAACTTCACCTAGTTTATCACCATCTTCAACAAATTGTAATAGTAGTGGACATGTAAGGAAGAAACAAAAAACAAATACCAATGGAATTGGTTCCGCATCATCAACGTCATCACTTAATACAAGTGATGATCATAATCAATCACAATCACAAGTAAGTTATATTTAAATAAATAAAATTTTTATTTACTTTTAAATATTATTTTATCTATTTATTTATTTTTTTTTATAGACTTGTTATCCATTTCAAGCTGAATTAACACAAAAAATTGATATTGAATGTGGTGGTGGTAGTAATGGTAGTGGTCAAATTGCTCACACACCAACGCACCATTTTACATTGAGTACAGTGATCAATGTCAGTGTGAATGGTCAAACATCTCAACAACAATCACAATCACAACAAAAACCTCTTGATATACTTTCTTCTCCATCATCTTCATCTTTATCACAGCAACAGTGTCCGCCAGCATCAAGTGATCAACAAGATTTTCTTGTTCATCCATCCTCATCCTCATCTCCATCTGTTTTATCCACATCGTCCCCTTCGACAGCTTCACCTTCAACAACAGCAATAAATTCAACTAATAATAATAACAACAACAACACTAATATTAATAATAATAATTCTGTTTCAAATTTAATTTCTTCAACATCTCCATCAACAAATTTATTATCACAATCACCATCTTTACCAATTTCTTCGTCTTCGACTTCCTTGATACCATTTTCCGAATTAAATTTTTCATTGTATACTAAAGATCTTGATTTAACCACATTTGATTCATTTATTTTACCAACATGTCCAAATCCTCAAGATTATTTATCAATAGATGGTTTAATAACATTTTTAAATACATTCAATACATCATTTCTTATGTCAGATAATAATAATAATAATTTATCAATGCAAAAAACAATTGAATATAATAAAAGATATCAACAACAACAAATGATGGCAAGATCAGATTCATTAGCATTCAGACAAACACCTTATTTACCAAGTACACCTCAACATTATCCTGATTCCTATCGAATGCAGCAGCAACAACAGCAACAGCAACAGCAGCAGCAGCAGCAACAACAACAACAACAACAACAACAACA